TAAGAAGATCATACCACTCTAATGGCAGAAAGTTAACAGGAACTAAAGAGTCTGTTGATGAAGGTGAAAGAGGAGGGTAAAAAATCTGGCTTCAAACTCAACATTCAAAAAATGAAGATCATGACATTCAGTCCAATCACTTCATTCAAATAGATGGGGAGAAAATAGAAACAGTGACAGACTTTATTTTCTTGGGCTCCAACAATCACTGCAGCTTGTGACTGCAGCCATGAAATTAAAAGATGCTTCCTCCTTGGAAGAAAAGCAGTGAGAAACCTAGATAGCTTATTAAAAAGCAGAGATGTTAATTTGCCAACAAAGGTCCATATAGTCAAAGTTATGGGTTTTCCAGTAGTCATGTATGGAAGTGAGAGTCGGACCAGAAAGAAGGTTGAGCACCAAAGAATTGTTGCTTTTGAATTGTGGTGTTGTAGGCAAAACACTCTCCGACATGAATCACAGCAGGATCCTCTATGATCCACCTCCTAGAATATTGGAAATAAAAGCAAAAATAAACAAATGGGACCGAATGAAACTTAAAATCTTTTGCACAACAAAGGAAACTATAAGTAAGGTGAAAAGACAGCCCTCAGATTGGGAGAAAATAATAGCAAATGAAGCAACATACAAAGGATTAATCTCAAAAATATACAAGCAACTCCTGAAGCTCAATTCCAGAAAAATAAATGGCCCAATCAAAAAATGGGCCAAAGAACTAAACAGACATTTCTCCAAAGAAGACATACAGATGGCTAACAAACACATGAAAAGATGCTCAACATCACTCATTATCAGAGAAATGCAAATCAAAACCACAATGAGGTACCATTACACGCCAGTCAGGATGGCTGCTATCCAAAAGTCTACAAGCAATAAATGCTAGAGAGGGTATGGAGAAAAGGGAACTCTCTTACACTGTTGGTGGGAATGCAAACTAGTCCAGCCACTATGGAGAATAGTGTGGAGATTTCTTAAAGAACTGGAAATAGAACTGTCATATGACCCAGGAATTCCACTGCTGGGCATACACACTGAGGAAACCAGATCTGAAAGAGACACGTGCACCCCAATGTTCATCACAGCACTGTTTATAATAGCCAGAACATGGAAGCAACCTAGATGCCCATCAGCAGACGAATGGATAAGGAAGTTGTGGTACATATACACCATGGAATATTACTCAGCCATTAAAAAGAATTCATTTGAATCAATTCTAATGAGATGGATGAAACTGGAGCCCATTCTACAGAGTGAAGTAAGCCAGAAAAAGAACATTACAGCATACTAACACATACATATGGAATTTAGAAAGATGGTAATGATAACCATATATGCAAAACAGAAAAAGAGACACAGATGTACAGAACAGACTTTTCGACTGTTGGAGAAGGCGAGGGTGGGATGTTTTGCGAGAACAGCATTGAAAAATGTATATTATCTATAGTGAAACAGATCACCAGCCCAGGTGGGATGCATGAGACAAGTTCTCGGACCTGGTGCACTGGGAAGACCCAGAGGGATCAGGTAGAGAGGGACGTGGGAGGGGGGATTGGGATGGGGAATACATGTAACTCCATGGCTGATTCATGTCAATGTATGACAAAACCCACTGCAATATTGTGAAGTAATAAGCTACCAACTAATAAAAATAAATGAAAAAAAAAAAAAAGAAATGACTGATGGTTAAGCTGAAGCTCCAATACACTGGCCACCTGATGGAAGAACCAACTCATTGGAAAAGACCCTGATGCCTGGAAAGGTTGAGGGCAGGAAGAGCAGAGGGAGCGAGGATGAGATGGTTGGATGGCATCATGGACTCAATGGACATGAGTTCGAGCAAACTCTGGGAGATAGTGAGGGAACATGGCGGCTTGGCGTGCTGCAGTTCACAGGGTCACAGAGTCAGACGTGACTTACTGACCGAACAACAGCATCTTGGCTCCTACACCTTGTCACAGGAACCGGGCTCTCTGTCCAGGCTGTCTGCCTGAGGAGGCACTCATCTCAGTACAGTGCGTTGCTTCCTGACACACAGCCTTGAGGGATGCACATGGGCCTAAGGAGTCAGCTTAAGTATTCCTCTTCATCCTGCACATAACCAGTCCTGTCTCCTCAGATTCCTTCTATCCCCTTGAGTTTGTTTCTTCATTTCTTAAAGTGGAATATACTTTTTTCTTTCTGCTTCACAGTGATATCTGGATCACTACTTTGTACAAAGTATTTCAAAAGAATGTTACAATTGTAAGCTGTTTTAAAACATGAAGTGCAAAAAAAAAAAAATGAAGTGCTTAATATTAGCTAAAACCCCTTTAAGCTTTATGTGCAACCATTCTAGTGAATTCTAGCTTTATGGAGGCCCTGCCCTCTGAAGAGTTTTTCAGTCAACCAAATTCTTGGTGAAAGAAAAGTGGTGCTTTTCATGGGATATATCCAAAGGTTTGGAGCCAGAAAGAGGTGAACTGGAGTTCCTGTTCTTTGCTTTTCAGAAGGTAGTTTATTCTCCTGGAACTGTAATTTCTCCAATTGTAAAGAGAACTATAGTTAGGATATAGTCACATCATTGATTCAACAGCTATTTATGGAATTCCTACTACAAGTCCAATCCTGTGCTGATAGGTACTGAGGACTCAGGGATGAGTAAAATTGACATAGTCTCTGCTCTCATGGAAACTGGTTTAAGAAGGAAAATCAAACAATTATAAGCAGACATGGAAAAAGAAAAGTTATGTGGCAAGAAGTAGGTAGTTAGAAACATGGAATTACTGTTTGGCACAGGGCCAAGCATTTCATTCCTTTGTTTCTCAGAGGTTTAAGAATTCTGAGGATCTCAGGAGGATGACATTATTTTGAAATACTTGGAATCCTCTTATTTATGCTATTGCAGGCCCTCCCAGACATGATGGCTGGTTTCCCACAGAAAATGATAAGTTGGCCCTGAAATATACCTCGTCCCCATCCCTCTGCATACTCTTGAGTCCTGAGACTTCACTTACATTTTTGTTTCTCTCCTGATTGGGCTCTTCTGGAGCAAGCTCTCCAATGAGCAGTGGTTTAAGGTACAACCGCACAATGTCAGGGTCTGGGTGCATGGCTCTGAAGACGTCCTGTGAATCAGAGAGAACTGTTAGAGGCTTAAAAAAGACATGCTTACACAGATAGCTCCCCTTTCTTATTTCATTCTGTACCGACCTTAGGAATCAGCACAGGCTATGTTATAGAGCATTTACTTCTAACTCTAGGTTGACATTTACCCTTGAAATTCCTCTACAAAAGCCTCACAGTGGTGATCCACCCACTGAGTGCATGGCTTACTAGGCAAGTCCTGGGTAGAAACTTGATCCCCAAGCATTGGAAGAGATCATTATTTATTTTATTGAGCACCAGAAGAAGTAGTTGGCTTTGAGATTATGGGCCATGGTGAATCTTTAGAGTCAAACCTCAGGCTTTGTGTGGAAGCTGCCCACATTATTTGGGGCATGCAGCAACCAAGACTGCCTATGCAAATCACATCTATCAGAGTTTCCCTTTTAGTTCTTGACCAAGGACCAGGGAACAAAGGCTCTTGCATTAAGTTATTTCCAAGGAAAGACAAGTTAAAGTTGATGATGATAACAAATGTCTAAGAGAGCATGGGAGCAAAGCCCTCAAACCCTTAGTTGTCTAAAGTGGCACTTTCTTGGCTAAGTTTATCACTGAAGAAGCCTTAGCACTCTTTCTAAAACAAAACAAAACAAAACAAAAAACCAAACAAAAAAAACACCATAGCATTCTCTGTAGGGGCTTGAGACAGGCACAAAATAGAGCTGACCCACTATATTTTTCCAACTCCATTCCCATGTTAAGTAGTAACTCCAAGTGGCTATGAGAAGCAGTGTTGATTCTCATGTCCCGCTTAAGTTTAGAAATAAGAGATAGAGGTTTTGTATTTTTTTTTTCTCCAGGGATTTAATTGGTTTGGGGGAAAGGAGGCTTCTCCAAGAGTAAGATACTGTACTTCTTGCTATTATGCCTTTGAGAATAGGAAGGATTTAGTATAGAGAAAAATAACCAAGGTTTTAATTGGAATATGTAGAGTCCATACACAATACTTTGGAGTGGTGGTGTTGCATAGTGCTGATTAAGAAACTGGATCCCTGAGCAGCCTTCCTACACCTAAGTTCGATATTGCTGTGTAATTGTGGAAAGTCTCTTGACCAGTCCATGCTCCTGTTTTCTCTTCTCTAACACAGGAGTGACAGTAATAGCTACTCAATATATAAAGTTATTATAAAAATTAAGTGAATTTATTAGAATCTGAGTGGCCTATAGTAAATTCTCAGACATTTTGGTTCTCTTTCCTGTGTGTATACCTCTGGGCTTCCTTGGTGGCTCAGATGGTAAAGAATCTGCCCGCAATGCAGGAGAGCCCAGTTAGATCCCTGGGTTGGGAAGATCCCCTGGAGAAGGGAATGGCAACCCACTCCAGTATTCTTGCCTGGAAAATTCCATGGACAGAGGAGCCTGGTGGACTACAGTCCATGGTGTTGCAAAGAGTTGTACATGACTGAACGACTAAGACACACAGGGATAAGAGCTACCTGCCTTCCTTCTCTTCAATAAAATATAACAGTTCAGAGATTTTCTTTCCATACTCCACTCAGAGTGAGCTCTGAATTGTTTTAGTGAATAGAATGAACCCTCCATCTTCAAAATCTAAAGCAACTTTAGATATATCTAGATCTACATGCAAGCATAAAGCATAAAGCATTTTCATATGTGTAGACTTGTATACATATATGTATATATATATAATGAATGAGGTTTTTCAGAGGGGTGCAATATCAACCCTTTAGACTCACTTTCTTAGATTCACTGATGTAAGAAGGGATTTGCATCTGCTAGAACCAGTCCAGGCTCTACTGTTCATTCTGCATTTGCACACTTTCTCTGATCCCCTTGGGAAATGCTGCTTTCAAAGATGTGTTTTCGTTGTCACATTCAATGACTCTAAAGTTAGTTTACCTAACAGGATGAGAGTCATTCAGTGATTAACAATGCGACTAGAACGTTTCATGGTGGCCCATACTGAAAAATCACATTCTACCTGTTGTTAAGGAACAAATGAGGGTGAGAAACACTCTGAGGGATCAAAATCAGAGTGTAGAGGAGGGGTGAGGCCCTGGATTTGCATCTTACTCTGAGCAGTCATCCAGAGCCCTGGAACAGTGTGCTGATGCTAATGTTCCTCTGGGTTCACTGTTTCTTCTGATCTTCAGCAGGATTCACAGGTCAATACTGTGGCAACAGAGACTGAAGACCCACAGAGTTTTCCAGAAGAGTAAGAACTGCCCTGCTGTGTGGAACTCTTTTCATTGTATTAATGGGCAGCACAAGAGTGGCTTAGGTGGTCTTAGAATATTCAATTAGAAGGAATTGCCTATTAGAGTCTAGATACAGAGTAAGTTGTGAAATTTCCTTCTCAAAAGACCTTCATAATAGAGTTCTTTTTTTTTTTAATTAACATTATTTGTCAAGTATGCTCCTCCTGAAGAAAGTCTGGGGTAAATGAAGGGGAGAGGGAGTAACACCATTTATTTTAGTATATCCTATGTACAAGATACTCTATGGGCCAACTCAGCATCATCAACTTAGTTCTGTGAATTTCCATCATTTTTGTTATACATATAAAGACTCAGAATCTCAGGACATTTCCACAGTAAGTGGGAGAGCCAGAATATGAGCTCAAGTCTATGTGACTTTAAAGCCATGAAGCCATAATGTCCATTCCAGCCTTAACATGAACAGTTCTTTTCCTGAAAGAAGGGTGACACAAGATTGTTTTGGAGGATATTAAGACCAGTACATGCATCCTAGGCAGTTAGTAAAGGTGTTTCTCATCTTAGGTTTTAATCACGTGCATCACTTTGTCTGTGGCCCCAACCTACTTCTCCAGGTTTACCTCTCACCATACCCTTCAGGCCTCATCCTGTCCAATGTAAGTCTCCCTGTTCGATAAACATTCCATGATCCTGTGTAGTTCTGAAGCTTTGTGATACATATTGCTCCCTTTGCCTTGACTACTTTCCTCAATTTTTTTTCTACTTAAAAGTTCCTTCTCATTCTTCACCAACCAGATGAAATATGCCTTCCTAACACAGTCAGGAAAGTTATTTAAGATCTCTTCTGGGCTCCCATGAGACTGTGTTCCTAAAGCTTTTCAAATGATGTTGCAGTGAAACTGTATTCACAAAGGCTTTCTTAGTGACTTTTGGCCTTTTTGAAGACTGAGACCATGCACTATTGATTAAATTATACCTGATGTTTGTTGCTGTGCCTGGAATATGACATGTGATCAAGAGATGTTTCATGAATAAGGGAAAGGGTGAATGAATAGAGCAGTATATGATTTCTCTAACAAGGAGAAAGTTGAGAAGTATTGATTTCAAGGATATGGGTCTTAAGCACTGCAGTCTCTTCCCCTCTCTCAGCATCTCTATTTTCTGACCTCTTAACTACTTTATAATCTCTCATTTTCATCTGTTATCTTTTGATTCATTTCTCAACCATCATCGCTATTTCCTAACCTATTCATAAATTTACACTGTAGCTCCTCTTAAGACTGATTATTTCCCAAACAGTATCAACACAGAGAAAATGTGTGATTGTCTTTGCTTTCACAAGTGACTTTGGAAATCCTGCTGATTTTTTGCTGTTATTTAATGGGGGATGGAAAGCTGTCCTTTATTGGAAGAGCAGTATGATCCCTAGTGGGAGAGACAAGTATGTAAAGTGAGAAGGCCTGAGAAGGATCATGTCCTTACAATTTACCTACTGTATACAGGCTGTGCCCTGCATCAAGGCACTTGGCCTAGAGGGCATGTGTGGGTTGAAATCCAGGAGACACTCCCTTTGCCAAATCTTGTTCTTCAATCAAACAAAGTGTGTGCCTATAAAATTTACACCAAAATACAGCATAGGGAGCAGTGCAGGATGTTGTTTATATTGGGAAAATGCTTAATCTCTCAAAATTTGATCTGTTTTCTAACTGTGGATGCTACTTATTCTCCCACATGGGCTCACTTATTCCTTCATTCATTTATTCAGTCATTACAAAACCTTGCTGAAAACTTAGCCTAGCAACAAAGAGCTTAAGTTTGGGTATCAGATGCTATTAAATGATATTTTTATATAATTATTATTTGGTTCATCTGAAGTGGGTTGAAATTTCCACAAATTCAGGAAAAAAAAGCACCCATCATGAATATATGTATATAGTCACAAAATCAACATAACTAGAACATAGATTTTGATTTACTTATCTCAAAAAGCTCACCAGGGGTCTTCCCTGTCAGTCTGGTGATTAAGGCTCCATGCTTCCATGGAGGGGTGAGGGGTCCATCCCTGTTGGGCAACTGAGGTCCCCCATGCCTTGCAGCACAGCCAAAAAACCAGAAACTCCCCAGAATACTCAATACCCAACCGCGGACGCCCACTCCTACATCTTTGGGTAATTTCTCTTCTGCTTCCTTCTTAGATCTCACCTGTTTCAAGGCAAGTACTAAATCAAGGTCCCTCGTATTTCTGGGAGATCACAAGTTTTGAGTAGGCTTATTTATGTGTAGAATATACTCTTTGCCTATGTTCTGGAAAAGAGCCACTTTGGAGTGGAGAATGTTTATATGAAGTCACCAAGATTCCCCTCCACCCACAGGGATAAACAGAGGGCTATATTTTTTTTTTTGCCATAACTCACTCTATTATTGAAAACTTTCATTATTTGAGATTTTTTCCTGTGATATACTTAATTGAACTCCAGGCCAGATTCTCTCTCTCTCTCTCTCTCTCTCCAGTGTCCCCACTAAACCTTCATCTTCCTGGCTTCATTACCTCGTAATGGCAACTGCCACCCACCTACCTACACAAGTCATCCATCGGACAGTTTAGACTCCTTACTCCTGCTTAGTTACCCAGCCACTCATCCCCTGTTATAAATGATGTCTCCCGGTTATCCATCCCCTCGTCCTCATTCCTGTTGTCAGTGTCTTATTCAGGACTTCAGCATGTTCCGTGGACTCCTTCCTTTGTTTTGACTCTGTAAATTTTTCTTTTTAATATGGGACCATAG